CCCCTGGCATACCTCCTGCCCCTGCCCCTCCACACCTCCCACCCAGCTCCCTGAGATCCCAGGAACACCTCCCGCCCCTGCCCCTCCGCACCCCCACCCCAGCACCCTGAGACCCCGGGCACACCTCTGGCCCCAGCCCCCCCCCGAGATCCCAGGCACACCTCCTGTCCCTGCCCCTCCACCCTAGTTCCCTGAGACCCCGGGCACACCTCCTGCCCCTGCCCCTCCGTGCCCCCATCCCCAGCTCCCTGAGATCCCAGGCACACCTCTGGCCCCAGGCCCCCTCCCCTCCCTGAGATCCCAGGCACACCTCCTGCCCCTGCCCCTCCGCCCAGCTCCCTGAGACCCCGGGCACACCTCCCACCCCAGCCCACCCCCCCTACCCCGGCTCCCCTCCCAGTCTACTTCAGTGCTGGCTTATGTCTGGATAACAAAGATGGCTAAAGGTGTTCTGAAGCACTATCTTCCCATGGCTTCCTGCCCTTCACCTCATCTTGTCTTGGTGTATGGTGGCCGGACTGGACATGGAACTCGTGGAGCTCGGGCCTGGAGTCTAAAATCTCAGGCCCCAGACCCCCTCCCAGCACCGCTGACCACCAGGCTCTGCTCAGTGCTCAGCAGACAGTGGGTCGCTGACATCTCTAACTTGCTGGATGGCCACTGTTGACCCCAGCCCTGCCACACACAGCCTGGACCCACCGGCCTTCCTGTGAAGCCTGGGAAGAAGCCTCACCCCAACAGCCTGCATCCCACATGCCTGCAACCAGCACCTCAGGGACATGCCAATGGGGAGGCTGTGCACGGCTGCAGCAGCCCTGGTGCCGGGAGCAAGCCCCGGGGTGGACTCGGGGAACAAGAAACCCCCAGGCTCTCCGTAAAATGGAGCAGGGACAGATAATCCTGATGATTCCTTCAAGACGTCTATCCTGTTGGCATACTAGCCCTAGCCTTTTTTTCCCTTTGAATTCAGGGCCTCACACCTGCTCAGCTTGTTTAGCTGGCACTCTACACTTGAGCTATGATTCCACCCTAGTTTTTTGTTGGTTATTTTGGAGATGAAGTCTTGCAGACTTTTCTGTCTGGGCTGGCTTCCAACTCAATCCTCTGACCTGTAATCCAGCTAGGATTTTCTTTTATTTTAGGTCAGGGGGCATGAACTCCGGGCCTGGATGATGTCCCTGAGTGTAAGGGTAGCGCTCAACCACTTTGAGCCACAGCTCCTCTTCTGGTTTCTAATAGTTAAAGACTCTCTTGGACTGTCCAACCCAGTCTGGCTTTGAAGCACGATTCTCAGCTTTCAGCCTCCTGAGAAGCTAGATCACAGGTGTGCACCACCGGTGCCTGGCCCGGCTTCTTCTCTAATGGCGTTAATCTCTTCAGCAGCTGCCCCTCTGAGCTGCAGCTGTACAGGAGCCCTTTTTCTGGTGAAACTGTGTATTTTTCAAATCTTCTTGCTCTGGGTTTGCCTGCATTCTCACGATAAATCTGGCTAATGGTGCCACATCATGAACACTGTGACGTCTTGAAATTTCCTCTATCTTATCACTTTTACACTCAGCCTCCCACAAAGAGTCAGGACAGGAACAACATGCAGACAAGTTCTTTGGCAGAATATAACAGAACTGGGCTCTAGTCCTTGCTGAAGGACGGAGGCATGGACTGCTGCCCAGTCCTTGCTGAGGGACCAGGGTGTGGGCCGGCCCCCGGACACAGGATCACCACACATCCGTCCGGGTTCTGCTGAGCGGGCACAGACATGATGGTTTCTCTGAATCAACAAACTGCTAAAAGTAGCTCAAAAGTAGCCCAGTCTTGGAGAAGGCGCTGACGTGGGTCTGGAAATTGCAGCATGAGGAAGTCTGCGGAATGGTGCACTGGGCTCTGCAGGCTTTTTCGGGATCCCTGGTGGAATCTGTGTGAAGAGGCTCGGACAAGGCTGGACACTGTGGTGTGGGGGTGGCGGGGACAGCGGCAGGATGGCCACAGAGCTGGAGGCAGCCAGTCATGGGCTCCAAGGCCAGATCAGCACCACAGCAACAAAGAACCGAGGAAGCAAATCTTCTCACATGTCTGTGGCTTGTCCCGTGTTTAGGGCAACCTTAGCTTTACAAAGAAAGCGCAGCCTCAGTGTTCTCAACAGACAGACAGACCTGCCCACTGCAGGCTAGTGAGGGCCCTGCTCCTCTTCCTCACCAGGCAGGGAGCACCCCACACCCCATGGGATGGGAAGGAAGGGGAGGGGAGGGCCTACCTCTGCCAAGTCGCTGTGGCTCACTGGAGAACCCCGGCTCTACCAGGGGGCCTGGTGCCCAGGACCTTGCATGGTACCCAGGACCTCACATGCTGCCCAGGACCTCGCGTGCTGCCCAGGGCTTCATGTCCCCACCACTGACAGACAGGCCACCGTCCTGTCTGTCCGCAGCCCAGGAAAACTCAATCATGCAGGTGGACAGGGCGGCGCCTCCACCCCCTCACCACCCCCCCATGCTCTTGTCCTGCCTCTGAGACTCCACGCAGGCTTCCCTCCCCCCTGTCCATAGCTGTAGGCCGCTGAATCCTCTGATTCCCACTCTCTGTTCCTGGGGCTGACCCCTGACCCCGAGGGGCCGCCTGTCTCTCCACAGACCTACCCCCCCCCGTCCCCGCCCCATCCTGACAGTCTCTGAACAAGAGTTAAGGGGCACTCTGGGTCTCACAGGCTGCCTTTGCACAACATGGACAGGAGCGGGTCTCCTCCAGCTCTGAGCACGCAGCCCCCGCTCTCCAGCCTGCCAGCCCAGGGTGCCTTCCTGGCATCTGCCTGTCAAACATGCTGATACAGCTGGATGTGGTATCCATACCTGCAACCCAGAACTCTGCAGGCTGAGGCTGAGGACTGGGAGATCCAGCCCAACCTGGAACGGTGGCATCCAGTCTCCAAAAACCAAAGCCAAAACCAAACAAAAAAAGGAGTGCTCTGTGGCATGCTATCCCAGGACCACGTGCAGAGGTGCCAAGGGCAGAGCCCTGACGTCCCGCTGAGCTCCGCAAGAGACCATGGAACAGAGTGAAGGCCGGATAGGAGCGGCCACAAGTGGACACCACAAGACAAGAGCCCAGCGCGCCCAGCCAAGGGCCCTGCACTGCGCCAGGCAGATGTGGGGCAGGACAGGGACAGAGCCCGCTGCAGAGCCACCGGTGCCCCGCGGCCCCACCAGGGGGTGGACACGGCACGGTTGGCTGGTCTCAGGATGCTGGGTGAGTGCTGAGGACTTGCACCCATGCTTGTCCCAGCTACGAGTGGAGCAGAGTCACCCTTCCCGCTTGGCTAGTGAAGCCCAGACTCCACACTGTAGTGCCAGCCCCAAAGGGCACACAAGGCCACCTGCCCTGGGGCACTGGGCAGTCAGGGCTGGGGAGGGGAGACTGGAAGGGGCAAGACAGTGAAGCACCAAACACAGCTTCTTATTCCTGGAAAACAGCTCATCTTTCCCAGGCCTGGGCTCTTGAGAAAGGAGCTCATGTTGGCCCCGACGGCACCAGGCCAGCCACGCAGAACGTGGTGTGGAAGACAACATGAGCCAAGGGGTCCCAGGCATGTCAGGCCTGGACAGGAAAAGGGGAGAAAAAAGGAAGCTCTTGTGCTCAGGGCGCCTGCAGCCCTCCAAGCCCGAGCCCAGGGCCGGCCCGGAGCCCCAGTCAGTCCACCCACGCGGGGAGCCAGGTCTCAGCTGTCCACGTCTGTTCTAAAAACAGTAAGACCACAACATAGTCCAGGATCTATTTTTGCGCCCGCTCACTGGGAAGGAATGTGAGCTATTCAGTATGGGGTGCAGGCCGCCCAAGCTCACTGCTGGCTGGGCAGCCACGAGCAAGCTTCCATTGCGGAGATAAAGGCTACAAAACTATTACCAAAAATACCATCGTGCAAATCCTAACAAATGTGCCCAAAACCCAACTTTCCTCCCTCCCTGCCGGGAAGGGAGAGGGAAATACAGAAACTTCCAGAATCACTCAGTGAAGCGGCATCCCGCAGGGAGAAGCCAGCCTGTGCAGGCGGCTGGAGCTGAGGGGGCAGTGTCAGGCACGGCCTGCTTCCCAAGGCTCCCCCCTCCCCCAGCCTGGCCACACACGCCTCAGCAGTTGGCCTGGCGCCCGAGAGCAGGGCAGAGCAGTGGGCGGCCGGCACGCAGAGGAGGCCATCAGTAAGGCACCGAGAAGAGGACCCCAAGCAGAACCCAAGACCCGAAGGGCCTTGGGGCCGGGGTCTGGGGATGCGTGCCTGCCAGGCCTGGCCCTCAGCAGAGCCCTCTGAGGCCCAGTGGGTGGTCGAGGGGAGGAGGGGCTTGGGCCTCTGCCCTGGAGGCCTTCTTGCCTCCAACTTGGTTCCCTCTGGGATCTCATGGTAATGCAGGAGGGAGCAGAGCCAGGCTGGCACAACCTTGCTCACACCTCCCTCTTCCTGCCTTGCTTTCCCGCTCTGCCCCAAGCTCAGCAGTCATGGCACGGGCCTCTTGGACGCAACCGTGATGGTAATAATGAGAAACGAGTTTGTACAGCATTGGGGGGGTGGCCTTCACAGAGAGATGAGGGGTTGCACAAAGACCCCAGCCACGGACAACCATGATGGAAAGGCAAGGGGCCTGTGGAAGGACCCCTGCCAAGGTGGGGGGGCTGGGCCTGGGCAGGGGACCAAGGGCTGGGCTCTGGTCTTAGGGGAAGATGGAGGACTGCCTAGAGGGGAGGAGTCCAGAGAAGCTGCAGGGCTTGGGATGGCAGGGGGGAAGGAGGAGGGGTGACGACAGGGGGGGGGGTGGTCAGGTCTGGGTCAGCTCTGCTCCAGGCATTTCCTCCCCCACCCCAGCCCAGTCTGGAGCAATCCGGGTGCTGGGGTTTTTCCTCTGGAAGCATCTGTTACATGAGACAGGCACAGAGCGGGTCCCCAAGGCCTCCTCTGCCTCCCAGAACTGACAGATGAGTGGAAAAGATGACCGTGAACTCCCTGGGAATTCCTGGGGGGGGGCAAGGGGAGCTATTATCGGATGGGCATAGAGCAGCAGTCCTGCAAGACAGAAACAGACCTCAGGACGCTGACTCCCTCAATAATCATTCCACAGAGTACACAGAGGGCAAAACATCACTTAGCCTATAAACACACACCATCTCATAATTAAGAAGCAGCCAGGCGCCAGTGACTCACGCCTGTAATCCTAGATACTTGGGAGGCTGAGATCTGAGGATTGTGGGTCAAAGCCAGCCCGGACAAGAAACTCCAGGAGACTCTTATCTCCAATGAACTACTCAAAAAAATTGGAGGTGGCACTGTGGCTCAAGTGGTAGAGCCTCACCTTGAGTGAAAGCAGCTCAGGGACAGTGCCCGGGCTCAAGTGCCAGGACCAGTGCCAGAAAAAAAGGAAAGAAAGAGAAGAGTGGAGGTGGAGTGAAGGCATGCACACTTGGCAAGGCGAATGGCCCACATATGTGTCACACTCACGGACCCCAGCGGGCCGGAGTTTGAGGCAGGAAGATGAGAACATGCATGGGAATGTGTGCCACACATCCCAGGCTGTTCCGGACACCACCGCTGCCTCCTCCATGCTGTCTGCCAGCCCCTCCAGCACCCTGGAGAGCCTGAGCCTGGCTGTACCTCTGCCCTCAGTCACCTGCTGCCCAGAGTCCTTTCCCATAGCAGCAGGGAGCCAGGGCCCCACACCACAGGACATGAAACTCTGCAGCAGTCCAGGCAGCAGTGGAGAGCAGGATGGGTGGCCAGAGCCGCCCAGGCCTTGCACTGGGTTCAGCGACATCTGCATCCTGTAAATCAACTGCCAGAGACTCCTTGCTTGACATGGGGCTGGGTAGGGAGGTGGAGACCGGGCGCTGGGCGCCGGGGCTCGGGGGTTGAGCAGGAAGCACACCGGACAGCAGACGATGGACACACAGCTCCGATGTGTGACCACAGCTCCGATCTCACTGCACAAGGCCAGCAGTCCCCACCCCACATGGGAACCACACTGTAACCCAGTTCTCCAGGACCCCACACCCTGTGTCTAGAACCCCAGCGAAAGCGCCTGAGGTCTTAGGGCTCCATCAGAGCTTCTCTTTGCCCACTGCTCTTCGGGGCCGTCAGGGGGCCTGACTTCCCCCATGGAAGCACGTCTGGCCCCCGACTGCTGGCAATCCTCCCCTTCCCCCGACACAGCTGTCATCCAACTGACAAGGCTTTGCAGCCATCAAATGCTGAGATATAGAGCCACTCCATTGTTTTCTACCTAACCCAACTTACCCGTGTTTCCCAGGAGAACGGGGCAGAGTGCTCGTCTTGCCAAGTTATGTCCTAAAATAAAAATTCAAGAATGAGTCTGAAGCCCAAATGCAGACAGCCCCACACAGCCGCCCAACCTACCTACACCATGAGGGGCCAACTACGCCAACCATCTCAGCCAGGCCTCGCCTTACCTTTTGGCCAAGGCTGCTGTGAGCCCTCCCCTGCCAGGCAAACTCAGGGTGACACAGACCAGGCCCCCAACAGACCCAGCCAGAGGGAAGCCAAGGGGCTGAGCTGTGTGCTCACAGACAGGCCTCAGCCTACTGTCTACACACGACAGGTGTATGTACACTGTGCACACAGGGACAGTCCACCACCCACTCAGGGACATCTACTGTCCACATAAGGACAGTCCACCATACACACAATTCACCATCAGCAAAAGGACAGTCTGTTGTGGGGATTGACCGAGGACCTGTGGAAAGAACGAAGGCAGCACCAATGGACTGGGGCTCCCCTTTGGGAGGTCTCAAAGGCCAGTGATGGAATGCGAGTCTAGTTATGTGCTGCGCAGCTGATTGCCCCAGCAGAACGGGAGAGCCCTAGCCTGGTTGCTGTTCACTGACCTGCAGAGAGGACTTGGGGAGCACCCACTTCTCCCAGTCCCCCGCTGCCCCAGCTGCATAAAGGGCCACGGGTTCTGGACCAAAATGTGGTCCATACTGAGCAGCACAGACTACAACAGGATGAAATGCTTTCAAGCTGATACTAAGGTTTTTACAGTCACATTTCACTTGTCCTCCTCTATGACTCCAGATAATTTATGCCTTTCTGTAGAGCACACAGTAATTCTGTCTCATCTCACTCTCCCACAGCTGACAGAGGCCCCCAAGGACTGAGGCCAGAGCCGGACCCTGGGGGTGCTGTCCAAACACATCAGCCATCCTCTGTGGAGCGGCCTTCCCTCCTGCCCCCACCTCCCCACCCCTGGCAAGAGCAGAGACAAAATAAAAATGCTGGGGTCTGGGCAGCTGCTGGCCTGTCCCCATGGAGGGGAAACCGTGTAAGGATCCCCTGGTGCTTGGTGCTTATCACATGCTGCCGACCCTGCGTATCTCAAGGCGCTGTAAAGGCCTTGCGCTTGGCCATCCCAGTGTGAGGAGCTGGGTCCCCCCAGACACTCCCTATATGAACACATGAACATATCTGCACACCCCAAACCTGTTCCCCAGGATTTTCCCCTCTGGGACACAGAGGGGGTCCAGCCCCAGCCCTGGAGGGCGGAGGAGTCATCAGTCAGGGAAGCGGACCCTGCATGGGCTGGGCCTGTCCCCTCGGTTGCACAGGCCCCTGCCACACCCTCCACACAGCACAGCTGCAACGTCTGCTGGGCACCAGGCTGCAGAATGGACTGGCCCGACCGGCGGTGGGGCAAAACTTCCAAAAACCAGAAGCAACAGAGTCATGCCGTCCCCTCTGGAATTTGTTAAATCCAAGCTATTTCTCAATGTCCAGATTCTGCTCCTCCAAAAATGGCAATGAGTCTGGAGGAATGCAAGCTATGGAGCCCGGGAGCTGCGTCTCAAGCAGGGTGGGGTGGAGTAGCTGGGGCCCTGCTGGGGGTGGTGCCTATTAAGAGAAGGGGACCCCAAAGCCTACCGACTTCCAGGCTCCCAAAACTCCATGCAGAAGGGCTTTGTTTTCAGAGGGATGGGAAGGTGTGAACTGAGCATAATTAGTAATTTTTCCCACCCAGGCCACAGGCCCTGGCTGTCCCAGTGGGCAGAGGAAGGGAACGGCTACTACAGCCGAGCTGGAGCCGTCCATGAGGCATGTACTCTGACTTCTACTTAATTGGAGTGGAGTGAGTCCCTTTCAGGTCGGCAAAGGTTCCACAGAAGGCTCTGGCTGTGGAACGTGGCTCTGGGAAGTGAGGCTGCGCCAGGGGCCTGGGGATGCCAGGTCCCCAGGGAATCACCCCACAGGCATCTGTTCCATTTCCACATAGTGGCAGACAGAGGCCATGTACATTTCCTCTCCTCAATCTGGTGTTAGGTTGGCAGCCTCTGGTTGGTTCCAGCAAGAAACTAAGTCCTGGGCCAGATTCCCTGGGTATCTGCAATTTTGAGCTAATAAGAAATAAGAAAGCACTTAAGAAAAATAAGCTGCAAAATGCCAGAGTGACAGAGGCTCTGACATCAGCCAAACTCGAGCCAGAGAATGTGGTAGTTGGGGCAGCCTGCTCCAACTGCCACAAGTCAGGGGCTCCAGAATTTCAAAATGGCAATAGACACATACACGTACACACACACACACACACACACACACACACACACACACGATCTGAGGATCGTGGTTCAAGCCAGGCTAGGCAGGAAAGTCCATGAGACCAAACCACTCAGAAAACTGGAAGTAGTGCTGTGGCTCAAGTGGTAGAGCGCTCACCTTGAGCTGAAGAACTGAAGGACAGCGCCCAGACCCAGAGTTCAAGCCCCCGACTGACAATAACAACAACAACAATAAACACAGCCTGGCTTGATAGTACACATATACAATCTCAGCAATCAGAATTTCAAATTTGAGGCCTACATAGCAAGATGTTGTCCCTAGTAAAGAACATTCTGAAAATACATGGTAGTGATACATAATTATGTAACATAGTGAATGTACTACCACTTGCAAATGACTAAAATGTTGTATGTTATAGAAATAAATAGATAACCACAATAGAACATTGTAAAAAACAACAACTGAGAAATCTTGGTGAAAATGAAGTCAATCTGAGAAAGCCAAGGACTGTGATTCCAGTTGCACAACATCCTGGGAGAAAGACCCATGGACCCAGCCAGCAAGGACCTGCACACGTGGGCGCAGCTCTGCAGTCCTGAGCAGACTCCCAGCACAGCCTGGGCCTGGAGCCCACCCAGGCTGTCCAGTGTACCCAGAAACAGAACCCGCTGCCCAGGCCGCCCAGGCCTCACAGGTACTGGAAGGCTTACAAACCACGCTGCAGCTGCACATGTGCAGTAATAGTGCTTCGCAAGACATCAAACTTCCTCATCGCAGAGGCAGACAACGGTACTATTGCTAAGTCTCACCACCTATCGGGGGGGTCAGTTTCTAAAACCCACCCCCAACTATGAAGCTCTCAGAAACGGGTTCCATTGTCATGGCGACAGGGGCAGATCAGGAGCCACGGGGGCACCTGAGGCCCAGAACCAGGAAGATGTTGGAGTCAGAAGTGGTGGCTCTAGCGGGGAAATGCTGAGAGCACCGGAGAGAAGGCTCAGCCCAGGACAAGTCTTGCACTGCCGGCATCACGTGCGGGGGACAGCTGGCCTCAGACTCTCTGGGGAGCTGTCCACGGGGGTTCAGTGCCAAGGAGTACACAGACAGCACCCTGGGCCTGTGAGCAGCAAGCACGCACCCCAGAGGTGCTGCTATACAACTTTCTTCGCTACAAGTGGGAACCAGGCCTCCATGCTCCTCGGGGCTGATGCTGAAAACGACACCCACACCAGCCAACAAGCACGCAGTGTTTGTGACAGCGAGAATCACGCCGCCCCACAAGGCACGCCCACGTCCTCCAGCAGGAACACAGAGACACCGGCCGTGGGTACTCCCCGTGCGGAGAACCAGGAGAAGCCAGTCTGAAAAGTCACAAAGTGATTCTGCCAGCAGGAAGGTAGGGGGGAGACAAGGCGGGCACAGCACAGGGCAGGATGTGGCATGGGGAGGGACAGGGAGGAGAAGGGGGGACAGGCAGTGGCCGCCAGGGCCCGCGGCACACACGCGCACCTCCGTGCTCTCGGGGCAATGCTCCTCTGTACAGGGCATCGGGATCCCACAATCTCCAGCACACCAGGCATCAGGAAGGCCTGGCATGGGCCACAGTCACAGCACACCCTTGTTTGACATTGCCAGCCTGGGGGCGGGCTCACGGGAAACCCACTTCCTACTCCATGTTGCTGTGAATCTAAAATCAAGTCTATTAAAGGAAGAATTAAGAGATGGTTACGATATACTTTATTTTACCAACTGCCTGACTTCAGCAACTGCCTCCGTATTTAGATGGTCTGCTGGGATGAGGAGTTGAAGGAAAGGCCCCACAGAGCAGGGGCTCCCACTCTGCCTGCCAGGCTCAGGGCCACTCACGGCAGATAGGAAGCAAGCAGCGGGTGGAGTAGGTGGAGGAAGGTCAGAGGCCAGGACCAGCAGGTGACCTGGAAATCCAAACAGCTGGTCTGGCTTGCAGTCCCTCCTTGGTTTCTTACATACTGGGGACAATATTTCCCCTGGTACTGGGGAACTGACCCCAAATCTGCTCAGGTGCCTCCTGCCACTGCCCGTCGCCTCATCTGTTTCCAGATTTCCCTGTGGCCGAAGAAGCGGTGGCTCAGAGGATAAGCCACATCCTCACCTCAACTTCCGGGCACCGGGCCAGGTGTGGGAGGGCAGGGGGTCATCGGTCCACAGGGACAGCTGAAGGGGCAGGCCCCAGCCTCCTGGTGCAGCCCACAGAGCCATCTACCACTTCTTGAGGCCAGCCTCCCTGCACAGGCCACCTCTGCCCTGTCCTCCTTTCAGCACACCCGTGGACGTGCCTGACAGGAGCCAACCCTCAGTCACACATTCCATCCTCCTTAGAAAACCAGTCCAAGCCCCGCCTGGTGGCACAAGCCTGTAATACCAGCTAGGGTGGAGATCAGGGGATGTCTAATAGCTGGGCGGAGTGGTGCATGCCTGTCATGAACAGGAGGACGGCAGTCCAGGCCAGCTCAGGCACAGAGCAAGAGCAAGACCTCATCAAAAAGGGACTGGTGGCCGGTGACGGTGGCTCACGCCTGTAATCCTAGCTACTCAGGAATGCTGAGATCTGAGGATTGAAGCTCAAAGCCAGCCTGGGTAGGAAAGTTCATGAAACTTTTATCTCCAATAAACCACTAGAAAACCGGAAGTGGCCCTATGGCTCAAACAGTAGTGCACTCACCTTGAATTGAAGAGCACAGGGACAGCACCCAAGCCCAGAGTTCAAGCCCCACAACCAACCAAAACAAAAAAGGGA